CCAAGACCGGTTAGACTTCTTGCTTAGCACGTCATCAAGAAGAGAGCACGGGAAGCTTATCTGCACCACCAAAGGAAACGGTCCAAATCCACCAAGTCCAAGACAGTCCAAGGCCGGTTAGACTTCTTGCTTAGCACTTCACCAAGAGGAGAGCACGAGAAGCTTATCTGTACCACCGAAAGAAACGGTCCTATCTTTGACCACGTTTCATTAAGAGCTCCCCAACCTCCTCCTTCCATTGAGGATAAGTCGTGATCTCCACAAAGAATAATCTTTTAGCTGCGATAAAGAAGCCTTGAGGATATGTCATGATCTCTAGGAGGATGATCTCTTAGCTGCTATAAAATAGCTCCAATCTGGTACAAGCAGGGAGAGATCACGCCCCACCAGAGAGATACAGAGGACGAACCGACTACCGGAGATTACTATTTTTCTTTAATTCTCCATTCTCTCTCTCAAAGCTTGTATCTCTATTCTCCATGCCTTTGAATCAATAAAATACCCGGCAACTGAAGCCATTGAAGAGTGGACGTAGGTCGAATTGACCGAACCACTATAAATTGTGTCTTCTTCAATTTTTTCATTGATTTCACTGCATTTATTATCTACACTTGACAGGTGGTGTGCAAAACCATTTTTGTACATCATCAAGTGTCACTAGTTAATTATAAATTAATAAACAGCGTTAGCACACAGATAATTTTCTGCAATGAATTGAGATAGCGATGCGTGGAACAATCCTGAATGATAAACCTGAAACAAATGATTAGAAAAAAAAGGGTCAGGTGTGTACCCTACTAATCTTTTCTGCAGTTCAAGTCAGTCGGCATTAGAGTCATGATCGCAATGTATTTTCTCTTTTCAAATTGTGTACCTTGGTCTACTATTTTGAAGAATATTTATACCTGGATTTGCAATGATGATAATGTCCTTGAGTCCCATCCCATAATTTAATGGCCTCCACTTATATCCTAGCATCACGAGTGTCATCCAGTCAAATCTTCTCTTGACTAGTATCCTTGGGGGCGAGCGAATCCTTACTCAAGAATCGCTAAGCATTCATGGTCTATCCTCTGGTCATTAAATACTTCTGTTTGGTGCTTCACACCTACGCTCGAATATTCACTACTTGGGAATAAAACAACCTTGGGGTTTACCGAGGTCTTTAAGTCAGCATAATGGTCATTAATGCCTTATAATAATGGCTATATTCACATATTTCGAGGACTAGAACACTCATTAATAACTCTGTTGTAATCACTCATGACTTTATTAATGAGCTGTTAGATTCCGTTTAATGCTAAGTTCTGGGGTATATAATTGACACTCCAATTCATAACTCCTCAGTGCCTTTCCCAACCACCCTTTGCATTCCTTAACGGCTACAACTATCCACATATCCATTTATCAGTATCAAACTGCCAAAAGTCCCGTCAATTAGTAAACTTTAATAACCAATGCAATGTTTATTGGATATATTAATTATTGACAATTATTAGAACAATTGAATTTACTAAAACTTTTTTACTGGTTTATGCCCTACATTTCTTAAAAATTAGGAGTCGTACAGTTGTTGTATTTGTGTGCAAATAAAAAAAGAAGAAGTGAGAATAGATAAATGTAGGCGATTAAATGAGATTAAAATAAAAGTTTATAAGTGATTAAACAAAAAAAAAAGATGTTATTATTAAATTTATAATTAATTATTAATAACTACAAATAAAGGGGGACAACACCAAAATTCACCCTTCCCCTTCATGGATATACTTATATATTTTGGTTTGTCGATGACCAGATTTCAATTCGAGTATAATCTTATTCTGTTTAATTTGATATGGACTAAAATTTTTATCTATTTATTCAAATCCATTTAGATATTTTAAATAGGATATGAATATGAGTATATGTAAATTCGATCTGATAAAAAATAATCCAATTAATATATATATGTATATGTTTTATATTATAGAATTTTTAACATATATATAATATATATTTATATCTATTATATATACATAAAATTTATATTGAATATCTATATTTGATCTTAAAAAAATTTATTTATTCAAAATTTGGTAGAATTTTATTATGAATTACACGGGTAAATTCCTGCAATGAGTAGAGATAACGATCTATTGGACAGTGAATCTGAAACAATCAATAAGTTAGGAAAGGAGTCCGGTGAACACTCGACTAATCCCTTCCAAAATTAAGTTAGTCGACATTAGAGATATTAGCACTATGTTTTTCTTAGTTGAGTTTGTGTATTTTTGTTTACTTCCTGATGGGTATTTATACTTAAACTAGTAATGATTAGGGGGTATGTGAGACCTATCTCAGCATTTAACGGCTGACACTTATATCCAAGCATAATGAGTGTGATCCAATTAAATCCCCTCGAGATTTATTTCATCGAGAACCTTTGAGCATTAACTGTCCATCTCCGATCATTTAAGAACCCTTACTCAGTGCTTGACATCTACACCTGAGCAATTACTGTTCGGGAATAAGCACATCGAGTCTTGCCGAGGACAATAGGTAGGCGTAATATCAATTAATCCTTTGTAATGATGATTATTTTCACGGGTCTCGAGAACACAGAGGCCCATTAATGACCTATTAGAATCACTTATATCATCATTAATAAGTTGTCATATTTTTTTAATGTTGGGCTCAATAAGGTGTGTTTGGTTTTTTCATGCTATAACTCCTCGGTGTCCTCCCTAGTGCTTTTTGTAATTTATAACAGTTATAATTACATATATGTCAACTTGTGACTGTTGAACAGCTTAAAGTCCCATAATGTGTTATAACGAATAAATTAATCAAATATCCGATTATAAGGGAATTCAAATATGCACTAATATTTTTATATCCGCCTAGTAAAAGAATCGAATTGTTAACCGGGTATTCAAGTAAATTGTTTTAAAAAGGAACCAATGATGATCACCCCGATCGCCTCACTCCCAATACTAAGCCTTTAACACATCCCAATGAGACCACTACCACGTGACCACACTTCGAATTTGAGGATAATTAAATCCGCGTCATATGCCACGTGGCAGACACGATCCCAATCAGCACCCCGCACCTCTTAACCTCCCCTCTACTCCTATATTAAGCCCGAACCCACTCTCCATCAGTTCAGCTTCAACTTACCTCAGGATAAAATAAACCAAACCAAACCAAACAAAACTCTTTTTCTTCATAAGGATCATTACTCCGGTGACGACATCATAGCCGGAAAATGAATATTCCGGAGATCTTTGATTTATCTTTTCAGCGACGCAATGTCCATGTATCCGTTCATCGCCATCACGTTTTCCACGAAAAACACTAAGCCAAAGCAATTTTGCGAGGTTATTCGATTCTTCTTCTTTGGCTAGTTTAACACGAGAGAAAAGGTATCGGTTTTTCGTTTTGAATATAATTTTTTTTCCTGAGTTGTGTTGGATGTGGTGATCTTGATCTGCGATGATCGGATGATGTGAGATGGTATTTGGTTGATTTTGGTGTGCAAAATTAAAGTTGACGTAGTTGCGGACGATTATCATGATGAATGTGTTGAACCTAAACTAAAATCATTGAATTTCATGCTCCAAACGCTTCCAAAGTTCATGTGTTTCTGTGAAACGGAGGTTTGTATTCAACAATTAGGCATTGGTTTTTGTGCAGAGAGTCGATTTTTGAGAAGTTACTGTAACAAACTTAACAGCAAAGCAAAGTCCCGTCGTCTTTAATGGCTCTGGAAAAACTGATCAGGATTCAGAACTGACAAATAGTAGAGAACAAATTAAAGGGTGTAAGCAGAGTTTAGAACAGAGGAAGTACCTTTTCTGCGGTTTCCGATTAATAGTAATACCTCCGATGAAGATTCAGCCGATTGATACTCAAAGCCACCGAGAATCGATCCGAACCGATCCAGCGAAGCCTGTTTTGAAATCGCGTTTGAAGAGGCTCTTTGATCGTCAGTTTCCGAGTGTTCTGCGCAATTCTTCTGCCGCGGGGAAGCCGAATTTTGGTGAAGCACAGTATGGCAAGGATGGAGGTGCTGAGTTTGAGCCGAGCTCGGTTTGCTTGGCGAAAATGGTTCAGAATTTCATTGAAGAGACAAATGAGAAGCCATCGGCTGCGAAATGTGGACGTAATCGATGCAATTGCTTCAACGGAAACATTGATGATAGTTCCGATGATGAATTTGATGCTTTCAGTGGTTTTGGTGACTCAACCGCAAACGCCGACTCTTTCGATACTCTGAAGGTAAATTTTGCTCAAAAAAATCCTTATTTTTTTTCCTGATTCTCCGATTGCGATATTTTCGTAGACATACATTTTCAGATCAATATTTCTGAAGAATATGCTTTGTTTTATTTTGTGTTTGTAGAGTTTGATTCCTTGTGCTAGTGTTACGGAGAGAAATCTCTTAGCAGACACTTCGAAAATCGTCGAAAAGAACATTATCTGCAAGCGGAAGGACGATTTCAGAAAAATTGTCACCTATGGCCTTTTAGCTCTTGGCTATGACGCTTCAATCTGTGAATCTCGTTGGGAAAAATCTTCTTCTTATCCAGCCGGTAAATCTCCCTCTCCCATACATACATGTGAATGCGTGTGTAATTCTTAAATTTCCATAGAATTTGTTTTATTTCTTCCTGATTTTGTGTTAATTTTCAGGGGAATATGAGTACGTAGATGTGATTGTGGAAGGAGAGAGGTTGTTGATAGACATAGACTTCAGATCAGAGTTCGAGATAGCTCGATCTACCGGGAACTACAAATCGATTCTTCAATCACTGCCGTACATCTTCGTCGGCAAAGCCGATCGTCTTCAACAGATAGTTTCGATTGTATCGGAGGCAGCAAAGCAGAGCTTGAAGAAGAAAGGTATGCACATCGCTCCGTGGAGGAAAGCCGAGTACATTAGAAACAAATGGCTCAGTGCTCACACCAGAACCACGCCTCCATCACTCCCAAACGACGCCGTTGAAGAAACCAAAACCGACGGCAGGAATGAGGAGTCTGTGGTAGCTCTCGAGAGTGATTGCGGAGACTTTGACTTGATCTTCGGGGAGAAGACGACGTCGTCGTCCGAGTCAGATCGTGTAGACACCGGTTCGTCGTCGTGGTTGACATCGACGGTGGGCAATTCCGGCGATGGTGAGAAGTCACCTGCCGTGGTGGTGATGACGTGGCAGCCTCCTGCTGTAAAACCGAAGACCAAGGTCCTCGTCACCGGATTAGCTTCTCTTCTCAAAGAGAAACCTTGAAAATTTTGGATTTTTGTTTTTCCTTGTCTTTTAAATTGTAAAAGTTCTCATTTTCTTGAAGAACAAAAATATATAAGAGAAATATATATAATCGGAGTTTCAGATTTTTGGTTTGCAAGGTATAAGAATCAAATCTATGAACATAATTACTGTAATAAATTCCCAATAGAAAAAGAAAATATGATAAATCCTTCCTGCTAAGTAGTTATGCAGATGTTTCTGTAAAGGGGACAGACATCTTTCTTCCTTTTTTTCAAATGGATTATAGGGGGAAGAGAATGTGGGGGTGGATGACGGCAGGCTCTCGTGCCGTCTCGGACGGCGTGAGTCGGAGGCAAAAGTGGGTGTGGGTGTCTTAGAGTAGCGTGATATTCTCTCTGTGGTTGCAATTTTCCTTGCTTTTTGTTTAAGCGCTAAAAGTGCCCGTGAAACCCATTTTCATTTACATTTTCAGGATAGGAGTGCTACGCCATTAAATTATATTTCTTTGACATCTTATTTGTATTTTTAGTCAATGAAAATCCAAGGATTAACAAAAATAAGTCGAAAATTCAAAACGAAATTTGACAATTCCCTTGATCTTAGGCCAAAGGAAATTATCATTCATGAATTTTTCAATTTCAGAGTGTATATTTTACCTTTGACGAGATTGAAAAAAAAATTAATTGAGATGTATGTAATATAATTCGAACATAAAAAAAGAAAAATTAACGTAGTCATTTATTTTATTAATTTTTAGTTAATAAATTTATATCATTAAAAATTAAATTAATAGTCGGGATTTAAATCTCTCAATTATCCTTTTCTTTCAATTTCTTTTAATATAATATTAAATAAATGTCATGTGTAAGATTTTGAATTGAATTTTATATCCTTATCCCCTCATCCTTATCCCTATCCCATTTGAGCATATTCTATTTTCATTTACGAATTTTATGCCAGTTAAACTTTTACTTTGACCGGACAAAAGAAAGAGGGGAGGGGGGGTTCTGTGAAATGTATAGCGGAGAAAATGCGTTGGGTTGATGAAAGCAGAGGTCCCAAGCAAAGAATATTTTGACTTTCTTGGGGATAAATCATGTTGACTGTTTTGAGTTTATATAGCAAGAAGCAACCACACGATTTGGATTTTTGAACATGATATCCGTAGTTGTTATTTTTCTTAACACATACTTATCACAACCTCTTACAAGTGTGATATTTAAATTAATACACACATTTAAAATTATTCGATGTGGAATAGCTCAGTCTCTCGACACCCTAGCTAGATTACCATTGCCACATGACCTCTGTGGGATTTCAGCCTAATACCGAATCGTGTGATTGGTGCACCCCGAAGAGCTTTTTCAGTCTTTTTGAACACACACTTAACACAACTTCTTAAACAAGGAAGTGTCAAGTGCAATATTTAAATTAACACACAAACTCAAAGTTATCAGACGTGGGATAACCCTAGTTGTTAGTTCATAGCACAAGCAATCACATAGTTTTGGGTTTAAACATGATAATATACATAGTATAGGTAGTTTATAGCATAAGCAATTTAGTGTATGTTTGGATGGTTTTGAGGTGAAGGATTTAATTGGTTTTATTAAATTCATTCAAATTCAATTATCATCTTTGTGTGTGAGGATTCATAGATGAATTTTATTCATATTCATATTTGATAAGTAATATATACACATGTGAGACATACGAATCAATCACAATTATCATCATACATTTGTTTTGTAAATGACTATATTACCTATGTTTATTTAATTATAGAGAGGAGTAATTGGGTGGAAGGTTAAGATGTAATTTAATAAATAAGATATTTATTAGAGAGTCATTTGCCGTAATTAATCTATACTAGCATATATGAAATTCATTCCTCCCCCCCTCCTCTTTGGGTTTGCCCAACCCATGCATGTGAGTTTAATACACTCGGTCACTTATGAATTGAAATATAAATTTTGGATTTAAAAATACTAACCAAACACATAATTAAGGAGTCTATAAGACTATTTTTTTTAAATCTATCCTTTCAAACCCGATCCATGGGTGCTGTTCTTATTCGGATCGTATTATTTTTCATTTATTTTGTATATTAGTCAATTTTATTTTAACTAGTTTAACTAATTAAATCAGATGTAAATATAACTTGTAAATAAAAATTCACAATATCTCTCCTCCCCCCTCTCTCTCCCCGAATATTTTAAGGATTCATGTAATATCATGTCAAAGTAAAAAATAAAAAAATAAAATTTCTTTTATAATTTAATAATGAAACTTATCTTTTTAGTAGATTATGGCGCTTATGAATTTATATTAACAACTAGTCAATATTAATCGGCTAATATTGTTCAAATTTGGTAGATTTCAGTAAAATAATAAAAAAAAAATAAAAAATCCTCAGAATACTAATTCACTACATGCATTATCAAACATATCTCATAATCATTGTGGTGGGGATTTTGTAATTCTTTATGTTGTGTATATCTTATTATCTCATACCCCATAGAGTGGGTAGGGTCGGTTGCAAAGTTCTCAGAGCTATGTGGGGTCTCCTTCCTTTAATTTATTTTTCTTTAAAATTTGAGTGGGAGTGGGGTTTCCATCTTTGTACATACCCAATAATAAAAGCATTTCCCCAAAGTTTGATAAAAGTAAGACCTCTCTCTCTCTCTCTCTCTCTCTCTCTCTCTCTCTCTCAAAATGGGTATGGTCTTGGAATGGAGATTGCCTGTGGAGTTTAAACTTGATTTGACAGAGTTGCCATGTCTACAAGAAACCACAGAGCATTCAAAGTATCCATCAAGTAAAGTCAGATGCCATGGTAACATCCTCAAGTCAAGTACAATGGGCTCTTTCTCTAACTCTTCAAGGATTTTTTTTTATTTTTTTATTTTTGTGTTTATATCTCCGCATTGAATTATTCTTATTTAATCTTGACATGTATGATCTGTATTTGATTAAATCAAAAAAAAAATTAATCGATATATGAATAAATTGGCTCAGAAATCCCTTACCATTAAATAAAAAAAATTATGTAATTTAGCTAAAATTGGATTTAATATAACTAGAGAAATCCAAGTAAGAAAAATTATTTTTTTACGCTTTATCCGCTACTGAACCAACGATACAAATTTTTTAATCATTTTTTTCTCGTTTCGCACATTTTGGGTGCACCTAGTTACTTCAAGCCTTGCAAATTGGACAAATCAATATTATTCTAATAAAAAAGAAAAAAAAAAAAAGAAAAATCAAGATTATAATAAGATTTATAATCTTACCCAAAAATCATCCCTATCCAAAACTATGACGAGTCCACTCCAGACTTTCACAAATTTTGGACACATTTCCCAAATTTCATCCAAATATGATATAACAACGTTGCCCAAAAATCCTATATATCTATCCTTACAATAATGTCCCAACAGCTGGGTAGCATGGCATATGGTCTGGTCCAGTCCATTCCAGATTTTTCAATTCTGAATTTTGCCCCTCTCCCTGATTTTTTTTTTTTGTATTACAATTAAGAGTGTCCGGATCAATTTACACGCATTTCGATTAATCGCCTTATTGATCCGGTAAAAAACGGATCATCTACAGATTAAGGAATTCATAAGGGACAAATCACTCGAGACTTTACCTTAAAGGAATTGTTATGTATTGAACTAAAGATATCTGAATTTACAGTTCGTTTCTACTTTCGCAAGACTTTCATAAAAATTCTTGGGAATCCGTACAAATGTGAGATGAAGAAAGGTTTAATAATCAATGTTTAAGATTTTCTCTTCCTTTTATTTTCTAATTTTCAATCACGTAGATAATTTTTCTTATTGGTAGAATCAAGATTACATCTAGATGTCAGATGGCGACTACGTAGCAAAAGAAAAAAAGAAAGAAAGAGAGTTGCATTCCCCGAAGGAAACCACCTTGAAATTTTATGTTTTGTTTTTTTAAAGATTTTGTTGATAAAGAGATATCCAAACTCTCAAAACAGCAGATTATAATTCCCTTGAAAAGACAGAGACAACTGTGACAAAATTAAAGACAAAATGGGTTTATTACCAGATTACATGGGATTTTTTGAAAGAAGACTTGCCCAATCAAATCTAAAATATATTGTATTCTACAGTTGAATAGATCCTAAGTTTTGTTTTAGTCAAAGGATGAAGAAGCCAAAACCAAGTTTATGTGACAAACCTGGGTAGGGATTCTTTACTCTATAATTGTCACGGGTAACTTTTATTTTTCTTTCGATACTATCTATGAAGGCATTGATGTTGCAACCAGCCACACACAAACTCAAGAATAAAGAAAAGAAACTCACACATAAAACACACACGAATTTATTGAGACAAAACTCTCAAACCTTATATATTGAACTCAATAATTTATAAGGAACTCTCAAAGCCAGAACACTATCTCCCTATCAGAATGCTCAAGCACCCCTATTTATACATGAGTAAGGCAGATGACACCCCCATCTGTCAAGGGGTAGTTACACACGTTTTTGCTATTCCATAGCATACTTGGCTAGCAGGCTTGGTCTCTATGCGACACTTGGCAGACAGTTCCACCTTTTTTAGTAACTGATGCAGAACTACCCTTCATCAGCATGCATCTGAACTAGATTCAAACTAGGGACGCCCAGAATTGCCTCAGCAACTGCCCACATCCTCCTGGTCACATGCATTGAGCAGCCATGTGTCAGTCATGTGCCCACATTCAGTAGCCAGTCTTGCTTCACGAACCAATGTGCATGCTGGGTTCAATCCATGCCATGCAATCCGAAACTATGCACCCACATTGTTTCAATTGAGCCCACCATGTGCTGCCATGCTCAACCGGGTGGTCTCATACTGCCTTGGTTCGCCTCAATCTGTCGAACCACTAAGCCGAGTCACCTTGATTCCAACTTATGGCATGCCTTGGTACAAGGTGCCACCAAGACCGGTCATTTGCACCCAAGTCAATTAGGGTGTGACACTAATGATGTATTCGGTTTTATACTTGCTTACAATGTTGACTAATACAAAACAGATTTCTCAATTTGGCTGGTAATATGTTTTTATTAGGGCAGCTGATGGATTAGCAATGAGATGCTGAATATTGCGTTTCTAAATTGTGTAAAATTATATCGAGAAAGACTTCTTAAAATTCGATCGAAACTATTGTTAATCAAGTTTGACGAATTTAACTGCGTACGACCCCGACTCTGTTATAAGACTAAATCTACACCCGCTAATTTATGCCAGATGAATTGACATTTTTACAGAGCCAAGGCACCACCTACTGCTAAAATTTCCTCCAGCCATCATTTCTTTTTCTTGTAATGATACCATCCCTATCAAATTGCGCAAAAGGGCCAAATTCAAGTTTCCAAGAAAAGCAAAGAAATTGCATTGACAGATGAGAGAATATTAGTCCAGCCCACCAAAAATAGACAGGAGAAAATCACTTATTATATATATTTCTGATTTATCAGTACATGGGTTTAATTGGTGCCCTATTTTTTTTTTTTTTTTTGGTCAGACGTTGTTATAGAGGAAGAGGAGAATAAGATTAGAACTCAAAACTTTAACATTTAAACGGTGATCATTAGGTCAATCTTTTACCTCATTGAATTTTTTAATTGATTTTCAAACTTCCACAATCAAGTAATAGGCAAGTGGGAAATGAAAATCAGTCAAAAATATCAGTCACCGACTTGGGTATTGTTTGATAATATTTTTTTAAAAAGTTTTTTTATGTTTATTTGGTGCTTTTTATGTTTATTTGTACTTACATAGTGCTGCAAGGTCAAGCAAGGATCTTTAGGTAAGTACATTGTGGAATAAAAGGTAGGTACACCAATGAATAATTGACTAATCTTTGAGCTAAAGATATTAGATCATTATTTAAAACTTATCATTAAGCAAAGATTATATAGAAGTAGGAATGTGGGTTAGACTTTGTCATGGATTAATAAAAACTTTAATTACAATTGTCCTCAATAATTGGGTGGTTGGGATGGGTTGTTGAGAAAATAAATCGAAAACATAGGATTTGGTAAGACTTATAAATTGTTTTATGTTACGACAAAAAAAAAGAAGAGAAAATTGTGAAAAGGTACATCCTTTCATACTTATTTGTGTAAAAATACCTCAATATAAAATATATATGTATAAGTACCTTTTATGTGTAAATGTTTAGTGATGTTTAGTGAAGAGGTATACTTTTGCTGAATTGTAATTTTTTTTCTTACTAAATTGTCATTTTCCTTTATTAATGGAAGACAAATATGACAGTTATATAGAGATTCAGTTTCCTAATTTTATGGTACATCTTTTTTGAATTTTAAATTACTTATTCATCTATAATTGAACAACTATTTATTAAAACATTAATTGCATATTTATTCCTCTATCATTCAAATCGAAAATATCTATCAATGACACCCTCTCGCTAATCAATGTCATTATACTATAAACCAAAATATCACAGTGATACATTCTAATGACAATGGTACCAGCAATGACACAATATTACTAGACAAAATTCACACTGTTACCATACAAAATTCACATTGTTACCATCTAAAAAGTCACACTACATTTATATAATTTTTTTTATAAATTGTAATGAGAAATATATGATTTCACCTTATATAATATTTATTGATTATTACGAGTGTTTTTTTTTTTCACGAATATTTTAAATTTAAATTTAGTACAGTGGTACATGTCACATTGACACAGTGATATACAACATTGTCACAATGCCATAAGTCAATGTCACACTAGAAAGGGTGTCAGTAATGTTTTTGATAATAGAGAGAGTGTCTTTAAAGATATAACAAACTAGAAAGGGTGTGATTGAAATTTTTTCAAAAAATTATTACACCTCTTGAATGCTGCCTCCATGGTCTGCAAGCCTTAAAGAAGTTGAATCTTCTTAGAACCCTCCTTTTTCATGTACAGATTCATGATGGTTTCTACAATCTGTGACCCTCCTTTCCTGTCCACCTCAAAATCGAGAATGTTTGGAACCTTGTGCTTCAAGTCCTTAGAGAGTTTTGCAATCTCGATGAGTCCTCTTGATCGGAAATGAAAGGAGTTAGACTCTATTGATACTTTGATTGAGAGTTGATTTTTCAATAAGAGAAAATCGCCTGGATCCATTGAAATTATGATATTTTGAAAAGAATTGAAGTTTTAGGAAAATTTTCTTATCAATCTTGGAATAATGAAAATTTTGGCGATATTGAAGAAGTTTTATGACTACTAGTTGATATCCCTGATATTTCGGTTGTAGAAGCAAAAATATGAAAATCGGTTCCCATTTTACTTAAGAGGGTATTTTAGAGATTTGTTAAGATTGTGTACTTTTTGACCTATATTTTTAAAAATAGTACTTTTTGCTCTATAATTTTAAAAAAAGGCACTGGCCCCTTAAAACCCAAAACAAAAAAACACAGTTCTTGTGAAACCTGTTTAATTGGTCTAGGTCCAACGACAGCCCATGTAAGAACAAGGCTTAGAGCCCATTCATTCTGGGGATTCTTCGCTTGGGCCCAATGCTGTTCGTAACCATGATTTACCCTCGTTTTTTGTATGAAACTCGGCGTTTGAAACTCTGATTAGTACTATTCTAAAAAAGAGTCAAATATACATAGTCTTATTTTACATTCAAAGAGTCCGGTTCTATGACTCAGAACTTATAATTCATATAACATAATAGAGTAACTTTACTATTGCGTCTGCTTTCACCTTAGCTTTCGAAACCAACTGTATTAAAAAAAAAAAAAATTGTTCATCAGGTGTGGACTGTCTGTCCTTTAACAAAGCAGGCCAGTGAGTTATTCAGACATGTGACGTTGTGGGGCATCATCTATTACTTCACACGGCCAGCCCAATGATAAAGTTAGGTTAGCAAGCAAAACTCCATGAAAGAATCCAAAACTATGGAAACAACATGCCAACAGACCAATTAATTATACTTATCTATTTTTTTGGTCACAACAAGGTTTGCCCCGCTACCTTAAAGTTCAATTACAGAGGCGGTGGTGGTCATTAAGCCAACCGCTAACCTTTACTTATCTAGAGTGTCATATTTACTGGCTCTTCCAGTGGCCACCCACCATGCAGATGTACTTCAATGTCTCTCACTTGTGACATATGGGGTATAAGGCATTTGGACCACAAGAAAAGCAAAAGCAAAAGCAAAGCTTCTTCCTAGCACCAGGAACTTTAGACTTCCATACTAACCCCACTAACCCCCCACCCCAAACAACAAAACCCACACACACACCCACCACCTTGTCTTTATCTTCTTAGCAAAGAATTGAAATTTTCTTTATTAGACATTGACTTGTAACGGCTCAAATGCTTCCTCGACAATGACTTTCAGGAAGGCTTCATCCAAGCACAAATGGAGAAAGGGGCCACATAAGAGCTCAAATAGGCAGAAAACAATTCAATACCACAACATGAAAGAAGGCAAATACATGTATTGAAAGAATAAATTATCATACAACATAGGTTCCCCTTCAAAGAAAGGAACCTACTGACCTGCAGTAGCAAGAGTCTCGTGTATTGGGCAGTCTATTTTTCTGACATATAACGATCACAAAAACCTCGGCTTGATTTGCAGAGAATGATCTGTGCTTGGCCTCATCTAATTCATTCTTTGCCATCGGCAGCACGAAGAGAGCCAAGTTGAACGGGAGCTTGTGTTCCAACAACTTTTGATGACCCGTAAATTGATAGATCGATGCCCCGAGCTTTCTCTTTGTCAATTTGATCCTTGATCCAAAAGTATGTGATTCTCAATCCATCCTGCACATATAGGAGATATGACCGGAGAGTCAGCAAGTGGATTGACACAACAGAGAAGCCAAAGTAATTCAATCCAATACCTTCAGTTTCATAGTAGGGACCCAACCAAGCTTCTCTTTAATAAGAGTGTTGTCTGAGTTTCGACCACGCACGCCTTCCGGCCCAGGAATGTGATGGATAGGGAGTTTCTTGTTCTCAAAGCTGAGGACGATCTCAGCCATCTCATTCATGCTTACCATCTCATCGCTTCCAATATTCACCGGCTCTCGGAAATCTGATTTTGTCAATCTGAACACAACAAAGAGTTCGTATCAAGATTTCGCTAAACACAGTTGCAAAACCAGCCCCCAAACCAAAGAACCGAGCCTAGCAAACTAGGATAAATACTTGTGCAAAATTAATGGTCAGTAGGCAGATTTTAATTGCAAACACCGGTAGCGTATATTATGCATCTCTGATAACAGTAAATCAAATGCTCGCTTACATTCAGTAGGACATTGAGAATGCTAAGAATATCAAGATTTTTCATTTTTGGACCATTATTTAAAAGATAAACACCACCATCTCAAACTCGAAAGGAGTTCAAGACCAACTCAAACACATCTTACTACTCTTAAGAAAGATAAATGTTCATGTGGCAAATTTACCTTAGCACACCTTCAACACATTCATCAATGAAGGTGAAAGATCGGGTTTGTAGCCCATCTCCCCACATCTCAAACTTATCAGTGGAAGTAATGGCTTTTCTACAGAATGCAGCAGGTGCTTTCTCCCTCCCACCTGTAGTGATCATACGACGAGCAACATTTATTAATAGAAAAGTCTAATAAACCAAATCTTATTTCATTGGGAATTGCAACTGCCTGTTAAATCTTGCCTTTCCATGTGCCAAAAGGTCCATAAATGTTATGGAACCGTCCAATCCGGCATTCAATTCCGAAGTCCTTGGTGTAGTGCTTGCATAATTCCTCCGTTGCCAGCTTCTCCAAGCCATAAGCATCTTGAGGCTAAAAACACAGAACAAAATCTCATAAATCATGTTGAAAAATCCACAATGATATATATATGGGAATTCTTGATCAGTTTAGAGGTAAAACCTCAGCAGGCCAAGCATCAGACTCCTTCAGGCTGACATTAGTATCCAACTGCTTAAATTCAGGATAAATGCAAGCACTAGAGGCATAAAAGAACCTGCACACCACAATGCAATGAACAATTCTCAGATATGTGCAACGATATAGATGATGTGTTTCCACACTAGTAACTACTAAGCCAAAAATAGCAAGCAGATGCTAGACTTTCGTGGACATAGAATTTGAACATTTCCTTAATTTATTGACTGGATTGTCCATTGAGACACTTCACATGGCTTGGAACCAATTGAAACAACTTAGGGGTAGTCCTTTCTATAAGGTGTTGAGAGAGGGAATGCCTGAACCTTAGAACTAAAGTTACTTTTGCACTGGGTTTGCTTAACAATATAACTTTTTATTAGCGAATACTATGAAGTCCTTTCCCCATATGAAAAAGAACAGAAAAGAATTGATTTTTGATAGAAGATAGACACAGGCTCTCTCAAGCCATAGAGGCCTCATGAAGTACTAATTCATCATGGTTACTCACTTTATGCAACCTTATCAGGACATCAAAAAAAGTTTCATATTCTTTTCTCCTCTAGAGAGGATCCACCAGCAAAAATGAACTGAACTTACAGAATTAAGTTCTTAACCAGCACTGTCCTAAAAGGAAAGCAATTATCTCCTGCATGTGATGCAAAATGCAAATAAATGTCCCATCTTAGAACTACGCACTTGCCCTAGATTGAGATCCAGATGTAAATGCTGCAGAAATAATTTCTACGGGCGTCCCTAGCAAATAACAAATAGTTCTCAAAGAGACTGAGAAATATATAAAACACGAGACAGCAGGTAACAAACCTCTTAACTCCATTGATCCTGGCAGCCTCAAGCATGTTGAAGCTAATCATAGTGTTGTTGTACATAATGACCGAATGATTGGACTGGATGAAGCCCATACCTCCCATATCAGCAGCAAGGTTAAAAACATGATCAACCCCATTTGTGACTTTCAGACAGGTATCCATCACCCTAAGATCAACGAGATGGAACTCATGACAGAACATGTCCTCGGTCATATGCTCATTTTTCTTCCAATCAGAAGCAATAATGTAATGTCCCTCATTCTTTAGACGCCTTGCTATGTGTGAGGCAATGAATCCACCTGCTCCAGTGATGGAAATCTGGAGCTTCTCCGAGGGCCAATAGGGCTCCCTCTCGAGGTTCTCATAGGTGAATGCCCCATAATCCGTTCCACCCGCACTTCCCATTCTGTAGACCTCAGTATACAAAAAATGGTGAGGGCATTATCAGCAAACCATCCTTAAAAATAAACAAACATTGATATTTGTGTGGATGGGGGTTGAAAAGGAACGGTTATGACAATGCAAGAAAGATAAGAAGCCCAGGTCACAAGAACATTCTACAAAATGAGATGGGACAACTACAGTTGACTCAATCCACAAGCAATTTTACCATAAACAAGGTTTAAGACGAGTAAAAAATGAAATCACAAGATCGTGACCAATGTGACTATAAAATGAAACTTTGATGCCACAATTCGACATTAATAAATACTAAGGAGAGAAACAAAACAAATTTTGATGCTACAATTCGAAATTAAAAAATACTACAAAGAGAAACAAAACAAACCCTAACCCAATAGAAAGTATTGCTTGGATATACTCGGTTTTACTCAATAGGAGTAACAAGATAGCCCAGAAACATAGTAAATAAAAGAATCAACACCCTCACGAAGGCGTAAATTCAGATAAGGGGTACCAATAACCACATATACGAATGTCCTAACAAACCTAAAACCCAAAATTACAAATAACAACTAATCCTTTCATCCTTATGTACAAATACCGACTCCGATAATAAATTTACGAGAAAATGACTATATTTAAATCATAAAGTCATACAAAGCAAACCATTCAGGGCAAAATGTGAAAAAAAAAAAAAAGTAGAAGAACACCAAGCAGCAGAACAAAAGCCTCTGCTCCTTCTCACCACCCCCAACAAAAACAATTGCAGACAATTCACAACGATAATGGGTAAATTAATAATATCCATATTGTAACAAGGGGACCTGAATACATATACATACACACACCTACATGGGTATGCCAACACTAAATCTATGTCCAAAACACGCATTTGGTCTCTCGAGAAACAGAGCATACTTGAATTCCACCTCAAACTATATGAAATCAACAAAAATGAACAGTACCCAGATCAAATTGATGACATAAATCTCAACAGACACGAACCATGTAAGAATCAACGTATATTCTAAATAAGAATGTAGCGTTGAAACACAGAGTGAAACAAAGAGAATTCAGAACATAGCAGTGTGCTACTAACTGAAATAAGCTAGAGAGCTACACGATAAAGATTCATATAGAGTTTGAGAGCGAAAATATAGAGGTAGATGTACCTGGTTGAAAGACACAGGTTTTGCCTGAAAGATCTCTGTTCTAACTTCTAAGCCCTTCGTTGTTGCTATATACAGAGCTGATGGGCAAGCTTCTTATGATATCCTTTTATTTTTTAATTAACTAATTATTGGAAATTATACTTTGATCCCCTTAACTAAGAACCTTTTTTACATTTCCCCTCAGTTATTATATTTTTCACATTATACCCTCAAATATGAGATTAATTTCACATTATCCCAATTATAACATTCTTTACATACTTAATGAAAATTTTTCATCTTAGCTCAAGAACTATGTAATTATTTTTACTTTGTACACATTAGTAATTTCTGTTCAAAAAGATAACGAACATTTGTGATTTGGGTAATGTAAAATAATCAAAATAGTTGAGAGAGCCATATTAAAAATTGAATAGTTTAAGTGATAAAGTAAAAAAAAATGTCATAGTTGAAGGGGCTAAAATATAATTTACCCTTATTTAATTTCTTTCTTCCAATATTAGTGGACAGAAATACATCAGAGCAAATGGGTCATTCTAGATAATAAAAAATGCTTTGTAGTCTTTGTCTTTATTGGCCAATACTGGACCATTATTCTTGAATCTTTTTTAAAAAAACCACAATTTTTAATTATATTTTTTATTTGTATTTAATTTGTTATTATTTCAATGAAAATATAATTTAAACTAACATTTTTAACTATATTTTCAAGGCACGTTTTCAGCAAAAAAAAAATTTATTAACCATGTTTTTTATAAGCAATTTTTTGTCGAAAATGACATTACCAATGCAAGCATTTTGATGATGGTAATCTTAATGGCTGGTCTTCCTTAAAGGAAATTAAAATTATGTGTTGTCACATGAACTTGTTGGGATTAAACTTGAGTTGCATGTTAGCGCGTGTCTCCTCCGTTCACAGTTACTACAACTTAATGAGATTAAAATTGCTCTTCAACGTATAAATTTAGAAGATGTGGTGAGACCTTAGATTCGGTTCCGAAGACAGTGTAATGAGACTAAATTTGCTCTTCAACATATAAATTTGGAAGATATGGTGAGATTTTAAATTTGGTCCCGAAGTAAGAACGGTAAGATTTCTTACAAATAGTTTTGTGGTACTAAAGAATAATACCCCTGATGAGATATTTGTATATTCATTTTATATACCAAAACAAAAAATTGAGTTGCATTGTTTGATAAAAAAAAAAAAGAAAAAGAAAAAAGAATTGAGTTACATGGCAAATGGGCACCGGGTGTGTGGGACCTTCTTGAATGGAAAAGATTTGGCAGAAGATATTGGACAGCTCGTGGTAGGGACCGCCTAAGAAAAAGAAGATCACTAGTTTGCACTTGAAAAAGTGCGTTGATTTTTCTGCAATGCACCTTAACCTCAAGCAAAGTAGCAAAACACTACTCCTCTTTTAATCATTACACTTTTGGAAACTTACTTGGCTCTTTACTAGAGGACTAAAATTGGAAACTTCGCCATGTGAATCATCTGGCAACAATTGAGTCGTGGTTTGTGGTGTATGGTTGCGTTATTTTGAATTGACCCTAAATTGAGCCGATTATTTTTTAGGACTGGCGATGTATGAACTCAAAACGTGATAGGATGCTTAAATTGAAGAATTAAAGGCTGGTGAATAGTAATGTATACGTGATCAATGAGAAATAAGACAACCTGAAGTTAAGTTTGATAACTCTATCTAATACTATAGTAAACTAAGGACTATGGTCCAAACTAAGGACAAGTAAGAACGAACGTATCAATGAATTTTTGGTTTAATGATATTTTTTATCTTATAAAAATTTTATTTTATTAAAATTAAGAATTCAAGTCCCTTCTCCTCTCCCCCAAAAAAAAAAAAAAAAAAGAATGAATAGATTATAGTGATTTACTAGTTGAAAAGTTTAACTAATCTATTTTAACGGAATGTCTTGTTTCTTGAAAAATTGTATATTACTTGAAAGAGAATATAGAATTACAATTCATTTGATCTTTTATATGGAGAAGGCTTTTGCATTTATACCCACAAGTGAGGTTGATTCTTCTGTCATCCACACGTGGTTTTCAAATTTGTTAGGATTATGTTGAGACAATATTAAGCTGTTAGAGATTATACTTCCTAAAAGTGACGTGACTTTCTAGAATATGTTGAGGTGGCCTTGCAGCCAGGCTTCAAGCTTGGATGTGTCGTGGTTTTCGACACCTATGAAAGAGCTTGTTGTGAGGTCGTTCTGATTTTGGATGACCTCATATTCCTTTAGCCAACTTGTGTGTAGTAGAGCTCAATTCAAACACATATCCTGAGCTGAAGATATTGATTCTCTTGTGATGCAACATGAAAAATTTAAACACCTATACATGAGATCGTAAATGAACAACATTAACTTTTTATTTGAGGATAGACGTTTAGCCATTAAGTTGGGAGATAGATCTTGTCTGTTGGCTCTTTTTCACAAATCTAATTACCTAAATATTCTTTAATTAATAATTGATGCCATTTTGAGGTATCATCAAAGGATACGTTGGAATCCAAGCACTACAAATTCGTATGGTACCCTGTAAACCAACCATTCATAGATCTTTTATGAACTAAAAATCTACTAAATTCAAGTGTTTGCAAATTTTTTTTTTAATCATATAAATATTGATATAATTATAGGGATAATATTTTGTTTATTAAAATGATATCCAAACACATTCTATAATTATAGGGATTGAGATAGACTGACACTAATCATAGCAATTTGGTTGATCCATTAATCACAGCAAATAACGATAACTTTTCTAAAACAACTAAGATGACATAGTGTCACTGTTTAAAAAAAATTAAAAAATGGGCAAGTAAATTCTACACAATTCAATAACTACCTTTTCATACATTGCAATAACTATCTCACGTAAAGAAATAGAATATCATTTGTCCAATTTATTATTTTTTAATTAATTAGTTTATTTAAGGGAAAATTATACTTTAGTTGCCTCCGGTATGAACCTTTTTTACTTTGCCCCTCAACTATTATGTTTTTTATATTATACTATCAATTATGTGATTAGTTTCACACTATTCCAATTATAACATCTGTTAATGAAAAGTTATTTCATTTTATCTTTAATTATTTTCAATTTGCCTTGACACGTCAGTAATTTTTATTTAAAACGATAACGGATATTAATTGGGTAATATGAAACAATAAAAATAGTTTAAGGTGTAATATAAAAATTCAATAGTTTAAGAAATAAAATAAAAAAAAGTCATAGTTAAGGGTATCAAAATATAATTTACCCTTATTTTAATTTCCCTCTTCCAATATTAGTGAACAGAAATACATTAGGGCAAATGGGTCATTGTTGATAGAAAAGCTTTGTAGTCTTTGTCTTTATTGGCCAATACTGGTCAATTTTTCTTGAATTTTTTTTCAAACAAATCAAAATTTTTAATTATATATTTCAAGGCACATTTTCAGCAAAAAAAATTTATTAACTTTGTTTTTATAACCAATTTTTCATCGAAGATAACATTACCAATTCAAGCTAAGCTTTGGATGATGGTAATCTTAATCGCGGGTCATTTGTTGACTTAGACAATTTTTATAGTATGAAAATATTTCTTCCTCAAAGGAAATTAAAATTATGTGTTTGTCGCGTGAACTTGGTGAGACTAAACTTGAGTTGTATTTTAGTATGAATCTCCACAATTCACAATTACGATACGATAATTAGGTGGAACTAATCTTATTCTTTAATATCTACATTTAGAAAGGGTGGTAAGACCTTAATTTTGGTCCCGATATAAATGTGATGAGGTCTCCTACAAATAATTACATAGTGTTAAAGAATAATATTCTTTGACATATATATGTAATGATTCATTTTATGTATCAAAATAAAAAATTGAGTTGTATGATTTGATAAAATAATAATAATAATAATAATAATTCTGGTTGAGTTGCATGGCCAATGGGCAATGGTTGTGTGGCACCTTCTTGAATGGAAAAGATTTGGCTTAAGATATCAGAAAGCTCGTGGCAGGGACCGCCAAAGAAAAAAAGATGATCTCTAGTTTACACTTAAAAAAGTGCTTTGATTTTTCTGCAAATTGCAATGCCCTCAAGCAACAAAACACCATTCCTCTTTAAATCATTGTACTTTTTGAAACTCCCCTTGGCTCTTTACTTGAGGACTAAAATTGAAAACTTCGCCATCTGAATCATTTGGCAACAATTGAGTCCTGTTTTGTCGTGTATGGTTGCATTATTTTGAATTGATTTTTCAACTATTAGTCTAAATCGAGCTGCTTAATTTTTAGGGTCGGTGATATATGAATTATTCTTAAGCAAAAGAGTTTAAAGTTTATGAACAGTTGTGTATACATGATTAGTGGAACTGAAGACGACATGAGATTGAGTTAGATGGCTCTACCCAATGTTACAATGAACCAGCGACTATAGTCTAAGTTAAGGACAAATAAGAACGAACAAATTATAGTAGTTTATTAGTTGAAATGTTTGATTAATTCATTCTGGCGAAGTCTCTTACTCTTTGAAAAACTGTATATTATACATGAAGAGTTAAAAAAAGTTGTCACACGTGCTGATGTCAAAGATAATCAAAGAGAATGAGTAGGATAAGTGAATGAGATGAAAATAACTCGAACAACCTATTAACAAAATGACGAACCAATTGGACAAAGGGTAGGTGAAATGTTCTCACCAACCAAAATTTTCTCATCTGCAATAGGCAAGTAATATGGGTATTTATAGCACAGTACCCGGGCAAACTAGGCTGCCCGCCTTGACCCCTACCTCGCGGCGGGCAGGTTGTATATTGTAGGTGAGGAATTAAAAGAGGTTATCACACGTGTCGATGCGAAAGATAATCGAAGGGAATGAATAGGTAAGTGGATGAGATGAAAGGAACTCGAGCAGCCTATTAACAAAATAACAAACTAGTTGAGCAAAGAATTGGTGAAATGGTCTCGCCAACAAAAATTTTCATCATTTACAATGGACAAGTAATATGAGTATTTATAGCATAGTACCCCCCACAAATCGGGTTGCTTGTTGCGACCCCTATCACTTGCGTCAACCCATAATTGTTTCGACTATAATGATATTAGTGGAATATTAACAAGGCAGATGTGACATTTTCTCAAATGCAGCCTTAGCACGGCTCCGATAAGGGTGCGATGATCGAGGTGAAAAGGGACTCCCAAGGTTTATGATCGCGACTGGTCACCGTGAGACCATGATCTCGAGAGGGTCATGTCCGCAATGCCCCTAGCATGCTCCTACTTAGGGTCATTTTTTTCCTCCTTGGACCTTTCCTCGAGACATTTGTCGAGGTGCATAATAAAGGAAACCCACATACTTTAAGTCCTTCAGCCACCAATCCAAATGTCCCATTATCACATATGTTAATCCTGACCAATAACTCCAGTTACCTTAAGAGTTCCTCTAGATTTTAGTCAAGCACATCCTAGTGGATAGCGAACCATACATTGGGAGACCTGCTCAAACATACTAAACCTTCAAGACTTTGCCCCAAGCCGAGGTTGACAATCATGCTTGTCTTCCCTTGTTGCTTAGTTCTCCCTTGAGGAGTGCCAGATTGCCCTGTCTCTAGATGGGGACCCCTCATCTTAGTCCAGTGGCCCAATCAAGCAACGGTGTCCAGTAGGTTGAAGATACTACTCCCGTAGAGGGGGAGGCAAATCTCATTGAGGTTGCCCTTAGACTTATGCAGTTTCACTTTTGTCCACCCTTAGTGAAGGGTCTATTTTATCACTTCCAATGCGATGAGGATATATCTCGTCCTGTTGCGCCTGAGGGAGGCGTCACACACAGATGTCGCGCCTTGGGAACGCTTGTGAATAGTTGTGTGTATACGATTAGTGGAAAAGAAGAGACATGAGGTTGAACTAGATGGATCTACCCAATGTTACAATGAACTCGGGACTATGGTTCAAGCTAAGGACAAGCAAGTACGAACAAATTATAGTGGTTCACCAGTTTAAAAATTTGACTAATTCACTCTAATAAAATTTCTTATTCTTTGAAAAACTGTATATTATTTGAAGAAGATGATAGGGTTACAATTCGTTTGATCCTTTTACATGGAGAAGGTCTTTGCATTTATACGAACAGGTTGGGGTGGTCCTTTTATCATCATCACGTGGTCTCCAAGTTTATTAAGATTGCATTTAGAGAATATTGGGCCGTTAGAGTTTATATTCCCTAGGGTGATATGGTTTCTAGAACATGCTGGGGTGGCCTTGCAGGTTGGCTTCAAACTTGGATGTGTTATGGTTTTCCATACTTATGAAAGATATTGCTATGAGATCGTTTTGCTTTTAGATGACCTCTTATTCTTTTAGCCAGCTAGTGCATAGGAGAGCTCAATCCTAATGCTTGTTTTGAGTTAGAGATGTTGATTTTCATCGTGATGTAACGTGGATGACCTGGACACTTGTACATGAAGTCATATGTGAATAACCTTGACTTTTTATTTGAGGATAAACGTTTAGCGATTAGATTGGGAGATAGGCCTTGTTCGGTGGCTCTTTTCATAAATCAGTTACCTAACTATCCTTTAATCTATAATTGATGCCATTTTTAAATATCATCAGGGGATATGTTGGAATCCAAGCATACATCCAAGCGCTACAAATTCGTATGGTACCCTGTAAACCAACCATTCATAGATCTTTTATGAACTAAAAATCTACTTAAATTCAAGTGTTTGCAAAACAAAACAAATTTTTTTTAATCATATAAAGATTGATATAATTATAGGGATACTATTTTGCTTATTAGAATGATATCCAAACACATTCTATAATTATAGGGATTGAGATAGACCGGCACAAATCATGACAATTTTTTTTTTAATCATGTGGGCAAGAGAATTCCACATAATTCAATAATTACTCTTTCATACAATGCAATAACCATCTCATGTAAAAAAATAAAATATCGTTTGCTAATTTATTATTTTTTAATTGTAATACCACATGAGAGTAATAAGCATAGCGTTACACTTAATATTTACTCTTGTTGGTGAGTGGTGCAAAATCCCCGAGGGCTTCAATTCGTGTGATAGGCCCGTGTTTTCGTAGAAGGCCCAAAATTTTGAAATTTTTTTCTTACAACACTAGTAAATATAATCCAATTACAAATATGGATCTAGCATGGGCTCTTTGGACTCAAACTTATCTAAAAGCCCATGATCCAATCAAATCAACGATTGTTTGGATTGCTGTGTAACCCTGCCCTCTTCTTCCAACAAATGCTTGCCACTCAGCCCTCGGTATGCTCCCAAGTATACTTGTAAATGTGATCTGTTTGCCAGAACCAAGGGGTCTTTTTGTAGAAACCTTCATGAACAACGGTGGTTTTTTTTTTATGGTTGAGCCTATACATGTCAAACCAAAAAGCCCAATTAGAAATATGGATCTTGAATGGGCCCTTTCGAGTCAAACTTGTCCAAAAGCCCATGATCCAAAATGGCTTCATTCATAAGTGCCCAAAAATTGGGCCGTCTCTGTTATTACCCACACCAATAGATGAAATTACCAAATCGCCACAAAATAACACAGCGAGAGAAAGAGAGAGAGAGAGAGAGAGAGAGAGATGCAGAAGAGAGAGCAAGGGAAGCAAGTCGGAGCGTCGGGTGGTTCCGCCACCCCGGCGACGAAGAGAGGCCGTCCATTCGGCAGTGGAAGCAGCAACGCGGCCGCTGCTTCTGCCGCAACCGCAGCCGATTCGGTTGCTCCACCCACACTCCTTGGCCCTTCTCTCCAAGTCCACTCCTCCTTCGCCGGTCAGTCACCATCCGGACCCTAGATTTTTGATTGTTAACTACTAGATCACCTTAAATGACTTGATTTTCTTGTTGCGACTAGTTGAATTGTCAACATTTTGTGTAATTTTTTATGATAAGTTTTTCATATGTAATTATGGTGACGAAATGTGTGTGTTTGTTGGGGGGGGGGGGG